CTGTGGATACAACCCATTTTGGTAACACTTCAAGGTTTTCGAAGCACCTTGTATAAGATTTCTCATTTGCTCCTCCAAACAAACTTGGGAGGTAGGTGCTGTAATTATCCCCCTTTTACAGATGGGTAAACTGAGACTCATAAAGGTAAAGTGACTTACCAAGGGTCACAAAGCTATTAAGCATAGGAGGCAGGATTTGAACTCAGGGCTTACTTGATTCAAAGGCCAGTCCTCTATCCACTACTCCACCTCGCTACATCAGTGACGTTAGATGCCTTTCACTTTTTGATATCAGTCAATAAACATTTATTAAAAGCCTGCTATGTGCCAGGCACTGTGTTAAGTCTAGGGACACAGAAAGAGGCAAAAGACAGTCCCTGCCCTCATGGAGCGAGATGAGATAACAAGCAAATAGCTTTGTACAAACAAGCTAATTAAGAAAGGGAAGGCACTAAAATTAAGAGCAGGTGGGAAAGACGTCCTGTAGATGTGAGCATCTGGTAAACTGTGGCCAGTCCCAGTGAATTGAGTAGGTAGGAAAATAAACATGTCCCAGGTCCAGCAACACAAAAGATGCCCTCAAATCAACTCTTTGAGATGAATTCAGTTGTGGGGGAGAACTTTAGAGAGAACCCTCTGACCTCGGGCCACACAAAGTCCCATAGGAAGAAAACGCCTAGAACACCATGAAGCTGTTGCTAGGGAGAAACCAGGCTGGGGTCCAGACAGGAAGCCCACTGAAGATGCAAAGTTCGTCTGTTTCACCTGTGGAAGGAAAGCACAAGCGCTGTCAGCACCCTCTTTTTTTCAGTGTTCTAGGACAAAGCCCAGGTTACAAAACCCTAGTTACACCTCTGCCTTTGCTTTGAGTTTTAATGATAGTGACGTAATTGATTTGGAAGTAAGACTGGGAAATTCAGCATTTCTGATCCTTCTTTGTCATGTAAGTCAAGGAGTAAGGGCCTAGACTTGAATCGGGGCAGACGTAACATCCACAATCCCACTGTACCCTGGGAAGCCCAAATGAACTGGTGATGGAGTTCACTGCTGTGCCTAGTATGACTTACAGAATCTTAGAACTGGAAGGGCCCAAGCATTCAGAAGCTCACTCACTCACTCACCAAAGTGCTTTGGAGTTCCAGCCAGCCCAAGTACCGCTGTAGACCCCGATTTTAGAAGGCCACTAAACACACACATTGCCCACTGCCTCACGTCATTTCCCTTAAGGATGGCTCGGTTTACCAAAACATTTGTCCTCTCTTTGTTTGACTCCCAACATCTGCCTTTCTATTATGTTGGGATACTAACTATCAAAGACTAATTCTTCCCATCCCAAAAAAATTGGAAACAAGCCAATTCTGCCTCTTTTCCTGCCTTCATGCTCCTGTCATGAGAGGGGACAAAGATAAGTTGGTATTTATTGTTGTTATTTAAGATGGATTGGGTTTTGCTTTTTGTTTTTTTTTAATACAAGTATCTGGGCCAGTTTTTAATTTAAGAGAATTCCATAGGAATAGGACTGGTTATTCATAGTCAGCCAATAAGCATTTATTAAGTACCTACTGTATGCCAGGCATAGTGCCGAGTGCTGGAGAAACACTAAAGGCAAAAACAGGGTCCCTGCCCTCCAGGAGCTCACTATCTAATGAGGGAAACAATATAGTTGTTAACTATGTATGTGCAAGGCATCTCCAATGTCCATAGGGTCATCAAGCAGCAGAGATGTGGCAGGGATCATGTCCAGCCCCCTTGTTTTGTAGGTGAGCAGATTGAGAGTAAGAGAGCTTCAGCGACTTGTCCTTGTCAGAGGCAGGATTTGAACCCAAGGCCTCTGACTTGTTTATAGCCCTTCATTCTTTGTCATGAGGGTTGGGCACAGTCCAAGCCCAGTTTTTGGTCAAATTCTTTACAAGGTCAAGGGTTAGCACATCTTACTTATTTAAGCAAATACCAATCTTACCCCAGCATGTATGCTAGATCTATAGTGAACAAAATTATTTCTAAATTTCTTTTTATCTACAATAACATAATATTCCAGACTTTGTAGCGAACAAACTTTCAGGGGTACTTAGGGCCTACTAGAGTGTTGACCACAGCTTTTGAGAACCACTGGACCAGCCAGGCTTGGAGGTCCCTTCCAGGCCTAGATCTAATGATGGTTTGAGTCTCCAGAGGCAGGGCTAACATGCCTTGTAAGCTAATCGAGTTAGGTCAGGCATGATCTCAGTGGGCACTATTTAGCCTGTTTACTCTCCAAAACCGGATAAGAAAGAGTTGAAAGGAGGGTGATGGCTTTTTCAAATCTACTTTAAATATAGGTCAACATTCAAAAGTTTTGTTTGAGGGTTTGGTGAATAGCCTGGTTGAGTTTCCCTAGATCAGTTGATATTTACTTGTCTTCCCTCTGTTCAGAGAATATTTGGGTTTTTCTTTCTTTCTTTCTTTCTTTTTTTTGCTGTTTGCTGATTGTGTAGAAACAATAATATACACTTTCAGCTTAATTCAACAAGCATTTATTAAGTGCTTACTATATGCAAGGTGCTAAGAATACAGAGACACCTCTCTGTCCTGTTATATTCCATTGGGGGAAAGAATTTATACAGTAGGCAGGTCACTGGTGGCCATGAATGGGTCACACCACTTCCCCAGGTCCAGGGTGAGTCCTTCCTAGGGACTCAGGCAGATCCCAAGCTAACATTTCTCTAATGCTCGCTTCCACTGTTTTTCACTGATCGCTAACTCTCCAACGGTATGTGTATGTGTGTGTTTCTGTGTATATTTGCTGTTTTTGTCTGTCTGTTTCCTTTTCTAGGTTGTAGCTCCTGGCGCTGCCTTGCATGTCTGCTCGGCTTTTTTCCTTCTCTTCTAATCGACTTCTCAACTCCAAACAGTTGCCTCTACTGACTAAAATGCAAACCTGGATTCTTTGCATTAACCAGGGGGATGTAACCTCCGCCTCGCCGAATCCTTTCTCTGAAAGCATTTTTTTATATAAAAAAAAATTCTTCCTGTTTTGTTACTGTTTTTTGTTGTTGTTTTGTTGGGTTTTTTTTTCTTGTATAACACACAACTTTTTGGGAAATAAGTCCTTCACTAACTGCTGGATATGGCTGCCTGTGTTTGTTCCCCGCCAAAGCCCTTTGATCAGCTTTCAACACTCTCTCCTGGATGTCACTTCTGTGTTTGGGACAGTTCTTTCTCCCTATTCCCATCTTAGTAAGGCAGAGGGCTGGAGCCCATGTAGATGGGGTGAGGGATGCTGGCCATCTATCCCAGTGACTCACCCTACTAGCGGCACCATAAGCCTGAAACTATAGCAAGAGCCTATAAAGAAATCGGAGAAAGGTTGCCAGCCCTTTCACCCAGGTGATGTAATGGAAACAGTGCATGATTTGGAGGCAGAGCGTTCAAATTCCATCTCTGCTGCTGACTACTGGAGTGACCTTGGGCAAAGCACATAACCCAGCTGGGCCTCTAAGGTTTCTTTCAATCAGGGGCTCTTAAGCTCTTAAGTGTAGTTGTGCCCTGGATCCCTTGGGCAGCGGTCTGGTGAAGCCCGTGGAGTCCTTCTCACAGTCATGTTTTTAAATGCTTAAAATAAAATACATAGGATACAAAGGAAATCAGTTCTATTGAAATACAGAGATCAGAATTTTTAAAAGAACAAGTTCACAGCCTTAAATCCATGGTCCTATGATCAGGAGGACCCCAGCCTGGAATGTCCATGGAAGAAAATTTCCTGTAGCTGCTGCTTCTGTTCCCACTATCACAGAGAGGATGGAAGGGCTGATGTCACGGGGGCTACCCTTGAGTTTGCCTTGCAAGCCTGGGGTCATCTCACATCCCCAGGGGCTTTTCCCAGCACCCGTTTTTAATACAGTAAAACTAGAGGGTGTGTTTTGCAGTGGTAAAAAATATCAGATTCCTGACTCCCTGTGTGATCTTGAGGAAGTCACCTGCTTCTCTGAGCCTCAGTTACCTCATCTGTAAAAATGAAAGGGATAGGAGAGATGATGTCAGAGATCCCTTCTGACCCCAAATTTATCATGTATGACTCCGGCACGGGCTCAGGATTGCCAAGTGCCGCGAATTAGGACCACAAGAATTCCCTGATGGGAGGCAGGACTTCTGCAGCCATCTTGCTCATGAGATTCAATTTACTTGTTAATCTTGGAAAGTCAGTTAAAAAAAAAACAGTATTTTTTCTAAAAAGTTGTCTTTGGTGCCTTTTGTTTTTACATCTGAATCTTTTCCAGATTTGCCTCACTTCCTTCTTACCCTGCAGAGTCAGCCTTCTGTTATAACAGAAAAAAAGACCATTAAGCAAAGCCAACTCCCAGTGACTGTGTATGCGACATTCTGTGCCCATAGCCCCCCACCTCTCCAACCAGATGGAGGTGGTAAAGCATTAATTTCATGACTTCAAAACTGACCCTTGCTTTGGGTCTCCACTCAAACAGTCAGGGCTCCTTTAAGATTTATAAAGCACTGTGCAGATGTCTTCTCACCTGAACCTGTGTTATTAGTCACCTCCTTTTATATCTGAAGGTCCTGAGGCTAAGAGAGGTTTAAATGATTCACCCAGGGCTGTGTACAGTAAATCACCAAGTTGGAGCTTGTTTTCCTGACTCCTGGACTTTCTTTGCTTATCAGTTGGGAGCCTCACACCTGGAGAAGCCTGCCTTAGGATTCTTTTTATTATGAGACTCAGTCCTTCACTCCACCTCCTTCTCACCCCTCCCCCAAACCTGAGAGACGTCTTCTGGTCTGCCACAACCCATGCCCATGAAAACAAAATGGTAGCTTGCCTTCCTTCTCTTTCAAGGGGAAGTGGTGAAAGGGTGCCCTGGCCTTGTTACTGGCGTAATCCTTTTTGGTCGGTGCCTGGGCTCATTGCTGGACTGTTGACATACCCCCTCCTCCCACCCGTTTTGAACGTTTAGGAACTCTGGCGGAAAACCACAAGGGGCTAAAACGTGTGTTTCTCTTCCTTTTTTCAGCATTAACAGTAGCAAAGTTGTATCCCGCTTTGAAAGGTTTGGCATGGCCATCCCGGAGTCCAGTAATCCAAAGATTTAGCCTGGTGTGCAATATTTCTCACTGCTGTTGATTTTTATTTTATTTTATTTTTTGTTTTGTGGGTTTGCTGTTCTTTCCCCTTATTCTCTGTATCCCCCTCTAAAAAAAAAAAAAAAAGAACTCAACTCTGCAAAACATCAGCCACCTTCTTAGAATCATCCCGGCACAGCCAGCCAGGAGCCCACCGAACTGCCACTGAATCAGACTGTTTGCACACACGTACATTTGTCTCCTGAATGTAGAACTGCACATAGTGTGTGTGTATAGATACACAAACACACATACAGATATATGTATATACACACATAACGTGTAATATAGACACGTGCGTACATACATATACATATATACATGCACATATATGGATTCTATATGTATATGTGTGTGTGTATGTATCAAATCCAGACAGACAATAAGTTTACATGTAACTTTTCTGTTGAATGAACTTGGGTTTTTTTGCTAGTTAATAATAAAGGTGACCCCAAGCGTCTACAGCATGGATGTTTGGTTGGCCTGAATGGTGATGTTGGGGTGAAAGGATCCTTCCCTTAGGAAAGTGAATCCTGGAAATCCATCAGACTCCCCAAGCTGGGACAGATGTCGGGGGGCTCTGTTGAGAGTAGCCAAGAGCGAGAGCCAGCTAACCAAGATTGGATTTCTTGGGGGATGGAGGGGATATCTTGCCCTCTGCTTTTCCCTGCTCCCCCCACCTTGGAGGTCTTCAAGCAGAGTTTGCTAGATGACCACTTGCAGGTACGTTGTAGAGGGAAGGAACTTCATGACCTCTGCGGTCCTTTCTGGCTCAGACATTCTGGGACTCCCTTTGGCTCCTATTGCTCTGACCCCAAAACTCACCACTTGCTGCCTTCCATGAACCAGTGAAAAATGGTCCTTAGCGGGGGCAATCCTTGAGACATATGAGGCAGCATAATGTGGTGGAAAATATGTCTGATACTAGAGAACCTGGGTTCAAATCCAACCTTTGATGTTTCCTAGCTGTTTGGCCTTGGGCAAGTAATTTTTTTCTAAGCCTTAATTTCCTATAGAATGAGGAGGTTGGGCTAGATGGCCTCAATCCTGGCTTTGACATTAGACATGTGAAATGTGGGCACATCATATCCCCTCGGACTCAGTATCCCTATCGGTAAAACATGGAGGTTTCACTAAATGTAGCCCTCTGAGGTCCCTTCCAGCTCAAAGCTGAGATCCTGTGATCCTTCATTCTGCTGACTAAGATGTAAGAGGTGGTTTCCCATTCAGGGCACCACATTGGAAGAGAATGCCAAGCTGGGTTTTCCCCCGCCTCTTCCAGGAAGGTCACCCTGGAGTGCAGGAGCTGTGGGGAAGCAGGGTATGGAGCTCTGTCTGCTGCTGTAGACAGTGGGTGTCTACAGTGGTCTCGAGGGAGCTTTCAGGGAGGCGTAGAGTGAGTTGGAAATGAGGGACAGTCAAAGCGAGTGTCAGAGGCCCCTGGCCCTGGTGAGGGCAGAGGGAAGGGGTTGAGATGAGGGATGAGGCGGGAGAGAGAGACGCCAGGAGCAGTGAACTTCCATGCATCCCTTCTCCCCGTCCCTGGGGAGCAGAGCCCCATTGATGCTGCCTCAGTAGCCACTGTCAGCCCTTCTGGGTTGTCTGATGCCCCTCTCCAATCAATTGCTAGTATTTATTAAGCACTACTATGTCCCGGGCCGTAGGGACATGCACAGTACAAAGAATGAAACAATCCCAACTCACAAGGAGTGTATGTTCTAATGGGGAGACTCTTGGCAGTCGTTTTTTTAATCATTCAACAAGCATATATAAAGCACCTACTATGTCCCTGACACTCTTGTGTTAGACCCTGGAGATACAAAAACCCAAACAACTCCCTGCCCTCAAGGAGCTTACCCTCTACTATATTTCAGCTGTATCCTATTTGGGAAAGGCTTGGATGAACGCTGTCTATCCCACAGTTCTAAGATGGTCATTGCCATGGGTGCCTTTTTACTAAGAATGGCTAAAGATAGAGAGTCCTTTCACACAGTATGAGAAGCCCTCAAGTGTAGACAGGTGAATCTGCCCTACATAGAGAAGTATCTCGGAGGAAAGGGGAAGAGAGGCCTCTGAAATCTACCCACCAACTCCTTCAGGATTCAAGAACCCCCAACCTAATCCAACACACTATTCTGATGAGGCAGTCTTAGAGCGGAAAATGCCTTGCCCAAGGTCACACGAGTAGTATCTCAGGTGGGCTTTGAATCCCAGATCTGAGTCTATGTGGATTTGGACTCAATCAGTGGGTTCATAGTATAGACACAGCCAACACTTGCAATTTGCCCCCATCCCCCCCAAAATGGGACTTGGAAAACGAAGGCTGATCCAGTAGAGGTAATTAAGCCTGGAGAAAGAAGAAAAGTTGGGTTAGAAAAGGCCTGGCTTGAAAGACCTTAAGAGGCCCAACCTTTCAACCCAGCCCAGAGCTGGACTAGGGCTGGCTTCCCAAACAGTACCTTTCTTTATTGCTACTGAAAGAGCCTTGGGAGTGTTGTGAAGTCTAGGTGAAGCTCACCCCATCCTCATTCCCCCCGCCCCCATCTCATCCCCGTGGCAGTTAAACTTGTGGTCTTGCCAAAGGATGGGGAAGAGGGAAGTCATTACTCCTCACCCCCATTCCTCCTCCCTTATTCTTGGTCTTCACCACCCGCCCATAAGGCCAGGCACTCCCTCTGCCTTTAACCTGAATTTTCTCAGTCAGGCCTGAAGGCCCCCCTACTCTAAAGAAGGTACAAGCTCTTTGAAACCATTCTTCATACACATTCTCATCAGTGTCATGGCATCAACCATCAGTACCCCTGCCAAGCAGGGGATTCACACACTGTTCCAGTGTGTGAGGGTTCCAAGAGCCCCCCACTTACCTGCTAAGGCCGGAGGCCCCTCTGGAAATGGGGGAGGAGATGTTTCCTTTGGAAACAGGTCACAGAGCTTGGGGGTGCTCCTGAGGGAAGACCACGGAACTCTTAGGCCCTGCTGATCCTCTCCTCTCCCCCCGGCCCCGTGTCCACCCATCTTGGCAGAGAGGAGATTTCTTTCTGACCACCTGGCATCATTTACCCCAGATCTTCGTATCTGTATCATACAATGTCAGAGCCAAAAAGAAACGTTTGATGCCACTGAGTCGTTATTTAAAGTGGATGGAGCCAAAGTCCAGGGAGGGGAAAGGATTGCTGACGAGTTAATGGGGACCACAAGTGGGTCTCCAGGCCCCCAGTTCAGTGCTCACTAGAGGCGGAAGGCAAAGCTGCTGATTTCTGTTGCATTTAGATAGATGTGTCCTTGTGTGTGCATGGGTGTGTTCACATGTGTCTGATTCCATTGGAATTTCCCGGGCTGAGCCCCCACCCGTCCCCAGACCTTTAGGGTGCTGTTTTCTCTCTCTGGCCTGATAACGTTCACATGCCACTTCCTGGTTTTCTACTTTTCAAGCATTCTCCCTCCCCAGAGGGGAGGTTTTGTGCCTCCCATTGACAAGATAGAGCAAAGAAAGGCACTATAGTAGACTGAAAGGGGCAGATTAGAGACAGTGTGATGGAGTGGCTAGAGAGCCAGGCCTACATCTGGGTTCAAACCCTTTGTTTCAAGTCACTCTTTAAAGGTATTATAGTCAACTAGCATTTATCAGGCACCTACTATGGGTCAGGTACTGTGCTAAGTGCTGGAGGTACAAAGAACAATATTGCAGCCCATACTGTCTATGTGACCCTGAGCAAATCACCGCTTCCTTTCCTACCAATAATTCTCTAAAAGCAGATGTTGTTCTGCATGGTAGATGGAATTTCCTCCCTAGGAGCTCCCCACCCAAGTGAATTAAGTCCATCTAAAAGAAAAAATGGGACAAAGTGTACATTTAATAATGTGACGGGAGAGGTAGGAGCCTGAGTCAAGATCAGGGCCTCGTCACTGGGCTCAGGGAAATAGAGCAGACACCCTCAGGATTCCCTCACAGGTGGGTGAGATGGATTTCCCAGTGTGAATATAAAGACAGTATTGCTTTGGCAGGCAAGAGGAGCCCTTAGGTACTGAGTGACTCCTTTTTTTTTTTTTTTTTTCATCAGAAGAGTTAACCTCCTTTTCCAATTAATTTCCTTTTTATTTAGTAAAGGAAGGAGCTAGCAAGCATCTAAACTTTCTGCCTGTGGGGGGTGGGGAGGTGGAGATAGAGGAGAGGGTTCTGCTTTTAAAGGTGAGGAAGTCACCTGAAACATTTGACCTCCAGTTGGCTTTTTTGTTTGTCTTTCGAGGTGACTGTGAAATGAAACATAGCTGAATTGCTTGCATGTGTCTGTTTCCCTCAGTTTTGTCTGTGAAATATATTAGAAAGATAATGAATAATGTGAATTATTGGCCAACGTCTGAGGAGAAAACCCCGGAGTCCTTCACGGGCTGAAAAGACCCCTAATTAGAACCCTGTTTGGGAACTGGTCCTTACCTACTTTTTTTATTTTAAAGTAAGGCCCTAATCCAAACTTTGCTTGAGATAAGGCGCAGACCTTAAAGCCTTAGAAGTCACCTCTTAATTCTAGGCAAAACCTCCCAGCCCCAGGCAACTCCTTCACGGTCCCTCCTGATGCTGGCTGGTGTTCTCTCTATTTGGACATCCAACTTGCCAACCTGGATGTCCAACTGGTGTTTTGAATTCTAGTAGGTTCTAATTCCATTAAGAATGGCAGTAATAGACTGGATTTCTGAATGGCCATTCCTTAAATATGCATGAGGCGATGGAATCATTCTGCGGCATTTATGATGTTTCTGATGATATTTAAAGATGTGCTTAGCACTGTCGGCCTGTATCTTTGTTTTGGGTCCTTGCTATGTTTTTGGGCACATAAATGTGAAACTGGTGTGGAAGAGGGAGGCGGGGCTGGTATAATACTGCTACATCCTCTGAGATTTCACCTGTGTGTGTATACAGAGTCTCATAGGGTTAAAAAAAAATGGACTTTTTTTCTTTTTGAATGTAATGTAAAATTTGTACAGCAAAAATTTTTATATTTTCTATCAACTGAGTTTGTCTTCCACAGATGCTATTAATTTAATTAAAATGGTTAGTGTTATTAACAATGTGTTGTATTAGTCATATGTTACTGGCAGGAGTACCCTCGGAGCCAATGGAATTCTGATTATTTGGAGAGCTCTTCAGTGAATAAAATGATGTGCTCCACCAAACCGTGACTTCCAGAGTCTGTGTCAGTTTTTGCTTCATTGCAGCCAGGACCGATGAATATCACCTATGTGTCCCAGAGTCTGATGCTCACTGGCATACAAGTAGGTTTTCTGTCAGTAGTAGCAT